ATAAGTGGATATTAGATGTAAAGCAAAGCATAACCAGACTGCAACTCATAATTCTAGGGAGGCTCCATAGTAAAGAGGACCCTAAGAAAGACACAGGGATTGCCCAATGACAGAGAAATGGATGAGATCTACATGTGTAAAATGGACATGAAGGGGGCTAATGAAGGGCAAGGGTCGGGGGGAAAGAGAGCTTAGTGAAGCGGGAGATGCCAGCTGGATCAAGAACAGAGGGGGAGAACAAGGAATAGGAGACCATGGTAAAGGAAGACCACACGAGAATAGGAAGAAGCAAAGTGCTAGAGAGATCCTCAGAAATCCACAAAGATACCTCCACAATAGACTGCTGACAATGGTCGAGAGAAAGCCGAACTGACCTACTCTTGTGATTGGATGGCCCAATACCCTAACTGTTGTGCTAGAACTCTCATCCAATGACTGATGGAAGTGGATGCAGAGATCCACGGCCAGGCCCCAGGTGGAGCTCCAGGAGTCCAATCTGTGAGAAAGAGGAGGGATTTTATGAGCTAGAGTTGTTGAGACCATGATTGAAAAAAGCACAGGGACAAATAGCCAAACTAGTGGAAACACATGAACTATGAACAAATAGCTGAGGAGCCTCCCAACTGGATCAGGCTCTCTGGATAAATGAGACAGCTGATTAGCTTGAACTGTTTGGCAGGCTCCCAGGCAGTGGATCCAGAACCTGTCCTTAGTGCATGAGCTGACTTTATGGAGCCTGGGGCCTATGCTGGGACACTTTGCTCAGCCTGGGTGAAGGGAGGAGGGGACTGGACCTGCCTGGACTGAATTTACCAGGCTGAGCTGAATCTCAGGGGAGTCCTTGCCCTGGAGGAGATTGGAATGGGTGGTGGATTGGGGAGAGAGCGGGGGTGGGGTGGGGGGGAGGAAGGAAGACAGGGGAATCCATGGCTGTTTAAATTAAATTATAAAATTAAAGATGAGTATCAAGGTAAGTATCTAATAATAGAAACTAGAATACATAGTCATAGCTTACTCCCACATTGTAATAATTCATTGGATCTAATTAAAAAAGTTCTTTCACTTGTAGGGGAAGATTCTTATTTCCTATAATTTTCCCTATTCAAATTTCTTGACATTTTGCTAATTTCTCTAATTGCTCATTGACATTATGGCTATGATTCTATAATTATACAACACTGTTATAGATAATAAAGGGAATGAAGGCCGGGCGGTGGTAGCGCACACCTTTAATCCCAGCACTAGGGAGGCAGACCCAGGCGGATCTCTGTGAGTTCGAGGCCAGCCTGGGCTACCAAGTGAGTTCCAGGAAAGGCGCAAAGCTACACAGAGAAACCCTGTCTCGAAAAAAAAAAAAAAAAAAAAAAAAAAAAAAAAAAAAGGAATGAAGGCTGCAACATTTTAATGTTTCTGTCCTTAATCATATGATCCTCTTTGAGGTAGACAGTTATGTAGTACATACTGTATAAATTTTCTACCTAGTTTCAGAAGGACAACACCACTGTCAAAACGATAACATTTGATCATCATAGACAATACATTTACTTAGTGATTTCTTATCTGATATACACTTGTATATTTTGATTATTGAAGCAAAGGTCTAATTTCTGTGTTTGTCTAGTTATAAGGATAGAATGTGCTCAAATTTATATTTCATATTTATCATTTGAAAATCAATTTTTGATGTGTGTATGTGAATGTGTGTGTGTGGGGGGGGGTAATTTATGTTTATACTTGTGAATTCATACTCTATAGGCCAAAGGGTAGCCTCAGCTCTTCAGGTTCTGTCCATTTTGTATTTTTGAGATGTGATCTCAAATGCCTGAAGTTAACCAAGCAGGCTAGGATGGCTGTCCAGCAAGACTCAGGCTCCCCCAGCCTCCACTTGACCAGCAGTATAATTACAGTGGCAAAGTACCACACATGACTTAAAATATTGCTTCTGGGGATAGAACCCAGGTCCTTGTAATTACAATGCTGAGTCGCCTTGTTGGCTTGAAAGTGAATTATTAATGCCTGTGCTTTTTTTTTCTTGAGTACAATGAGATTTTGTCAAGTCTGGCTATCCATGTGTTTTCAGCTCAATTGATATTATTAGTATATGCAATAAAAAAAACTTGCCATCAATTTAACCCACTCATATATTATATTCATTTGGTACATCCAGGGTATATTTTTCAACCTGATGCTCTGGATTTAGACAAACATATACCATGTTATGTCAAAAGTTTTAAATGTCATCACTATTGTTTCTATTTTATCCCTATGCATTTCTAATATATACAGCAAAAGTAAATTGACCAAAGACAATTCAAATAAACACTTATTTTGTGCCTATGCTGTAATGCAGTGGGAAGTTACTGTTGAAGTCTCCTGCATTCCTTTGATTACAAGCAATTCATTTGTGATATACTTTTAGTTTGTCCCATCAAGAGCATAAAACTAGGGCCTGATAAGGTCAGTTGGTAAATTGTTTACCTTAAAATGTGAGGACTTGTGTTTGATATGTAGAAATCACATGAGAATGTCACATACATTGACCACCCAGAATTGCCATGCTGGCAAGATGGAAACATCAGGATTTCTGGATCTCACTGTCTAGACAGTATAGCTTGCCTCTTCTCAACCAGTGAGTCATGGACCTCTTTGTGGGCTGCATATCAGATATCCTGCATATCAGATGTTTACATTACTATTCATAATAGCAGCAAAATTACACTTAAGATGTAGCAATAAAATAATTGTATGGTTAATATATTTGGGGCTCACCACAATATGTGGAACTATATTAAAGTTTGCAGCATTAGGAAGGTTGAGAACCACTGGTATAGCCTAATTGTTGAGATTCAAGATGATAAGAGACCCTGTTACAAAGTGGTTTGATAGATTTTCTGAGAAATGAACCTGGATGTTGACCTCAAGCCTGCACAAACACAGACATATATGTGTGAGTGTACGTGCACACATATGTGCTCTTGCACCAACATGATCTCACCCCCCACACACACACAAACATATGCACACACTCACTCTCTCTCTCTCATTATAAACCTACTTCCCAGACATGAAACTGTTTGTTTTTTAAAAGAAAACTATTTTCATCAAATGAGCTCATTATAATTAATGGTTTACAATTCTAAATTTAGAATTAAAAGACAAAAACAAAAACCTTCATGGTTTGAATCCAGGACTATGATAATGACATTTTTTAAGCTAGAATAAGGCTGTTTTAAACCATTGAAAATGGTTTTTAATTTGTTCAACAAAACTTTTTTAAATGTATATACTATGGGGTGACAATGATAGCTATTTTATTACATACCCCCAAAATGTGAGTGTATTAGTTACTTTCTTGTTGCTGTGATAAAATATCCTGACTGAAAAAAAAACAACACCTTAATGAAGAAAGGGTTAATTTTTAGATTACAGTTCCACAAGTGTAGAATCCATCATGGATGGAGAAGGCCTAGTAGCTGAAGCAGAAAGTAGAGAGATCACATTTCATTCATACACAGAAAGAAATTGGAATGAGCTTATGAACCTTCACAGGCCATCTCTACTGGTATACTTTCCCCAGCAAGCCTTTTCATGTAATTAAAATGGGCTTTTACATACTGTTTTTGTAGATAAGCAGTATATAATAATGATAATTACATAAATCTCAAAAGCATCACAAGTCACATTATTTGAGGAGAATACAAGATGAGAGGAGAAACGCCAATTACTTCTTTTCCTTCAAATTGCTCACACAAAGTTCATACCCATTTTCTCTGCTGACAAGGCTTAATAGTTTGCTGAGATTAATGGGCTAAAAAGTCCTCGCTTTAGGGAAGGGAGAGAAATCATAGAAGCATAACAGAATTATGGAAGGAAAGACCGAAAATTTGTAGAAGTCATAAATTAGTTTGAAATAAAGGGTTAGCAGGGGTTAGATATTGAATTCAAGTCAAAAAAGAAAAATTTTCTGTTTACACTTATCTGAAAAACACGAAGCTTCAAGTGTTGGCATCTTTATAATCAAATCCTTTGCTTTTGTAATCTGGCCAGGGTATTGGGTATGAACAGCCAACTTGTGACTATCAAAGCAGGCAGAGCAAAACTACCCAGGAAATTAACTGAAGAGTCTAGAGGTTCATGAAAATTAATAGGCCACTGTGTTTGTATTTTTAGGAAAATTTAAGATATTAATATATTGTGAAGGGTTCACTAGGAGTCAGCTTACTTATATTAGCATATTTTATTTGTTGTCTTACTACATTTTATTTTTATCCCATTAGTCTACTTTCATGGCTAGCACAGTTCTGTTTTAATTAAAACACCAAGCTACATATATTATACTCAGTAGCTGTTTTAGAAACATCCTCAGAATTATTGTGGAAGTGATTCAGTTGAACAAAAGGAATATGATCATGGCACTAATAGTAAGATCCCTGAACCAAAGCAAAATGTAGCTACTACCAGCAAATTTTAACTATGGAATATTTTTGTTAATAAAACGTATATGTTCCCTTGGAACAAACTGTGTCACCAATCTTACCTTAAGAAAGAAGCTGTCATAATCTGTCCTGTATAAAAATTATTGTCACCCTGGAATAAAGAAAATTCAATATTACTACTGTAGTTATGTAACTCATCATTTATTTTTTTAAAAAAAATGAACAAGAGTCAGAGACAGACGCTTCTTCCACTGTTAAGAGTCCCAGAAGAAGACCAAGCTATACAACTGTCAACTGTCAGATATATACAGAGGATCTAGACCTGGCCTATGTTGTCCCTGACTCTTTTACTGGCTTTTGGGATGCTATTCCTTATACTGGGTTGCCTTACTCAGCCCTAATACTAGGCAATGTGCTTTTTGTTACTACAACTTGATATACCATGTTTTGTTGATATCCATGGAAGGCCTGCCTTTTTCTGAATAGAAACAGAGAGGAGTGTATGGAGGAGGGGGTAGAAGGGACATGGGGAAGAGGGACTAGGAGGAGAGAAGGGAAGGGAAACAGCAGTCAGTATGTAAAAAAAAGTAATAATTAAAAGATGAACAAGATTTTATCACATTTGCTATTTTCATGAAACTGAATTATTCTTATATTTACTACATTTTATAAATAGACAAACACTATAGAATACATTTAACATAATTTATTATATGTATCATAACATATTTTTGTCTAATTAAACTATGAATTAAAAGTTATCAAATAAAATGTTAAACTCTGCAATATAGCACATTACAAAGGTAACATATATAATTATCTTTTAACATAATTGATTTTATACTAAGCAATGAATTATACATTACAATATTTCACTTATGTTCTGGGCTATTTTGTCTATGAAAGTAATTTTAGTCTATAGTACTGAGTTTCTCCTCAACTAAAAGCGCATAGGGTAGTTTGCTACAAATTTATCCATGTTATTGATTTTTCCATCATCTATAAGGGCTTACAACATTCACGAGATTGTTCCTGCTACAACATTATAAATTCATTGCCTGGAACACAGTTTGCTATTGAATGTCTGCCAGACTATGTTAACAAGGGTATTCACAGAAAAACCAAAGCTGTAATACAGTGAAAATGTGAAACAAATTCTATAAAGATTGTTTCTTTCCAAAGTCATTTGCATTTAACTAACCAAAGTAAGAATAGGAAATACAGTATTACTTATCACTAATGCTTTCTTGTATACGTAACAGTACCTCTTATATTATTCCTACACACAAATTTACTACTATTCTGGTGACCCTGGATTACTAATGTATCTCTGAATTACTAATGTATGCAGGAGCAATAATGCTGTTTTCTTGAATACAACCCCAAGTAAACATTAATTTGTAAAGGCAACAATCCTTTGTAGAAACCAACATGCTATTAGCTCAGACATCTTCAATGGCTAAATTATTACTACAGAGATTGTCAAAAGTATTAAGAAGAAGAGTAATTATAATATCTTTAGTTTTCTTGATTTTTGATATTTAGAAATGATTTGACTTTGTATATGATTTATTTGTGCAAATGTGCACATGTGTGTAGAGTTATATGTAAATGAGTGTGGGTATCTATGGAACTGAATTTACATGAGTTATGAGCCTCCCAACCAGGTGAAGAGAGCTGCACTTAGATTCTCTGTAAGAGCAGCAATTATTCTTAACCACTGAGCCATCTCTTTCAATAATGAGTGATTATAATATTGATTAATGAGCCTGATCCATTGGCCAAACATCTATAATTAATATTAAGCCTCCAAGTCAATTATTTGGGAAGTGGCTGCCAGGTATTTGGGAGTTGCTGGCAGTACAGAAACTTCTGCCTACAAATAGGAGTTTTGGAAATCCAAGCAGAGATACAGGAGAAGAAGGGCAGAGTCTGGGAGATGCCCACCAGCTGCCCAAGGAGCAACTTGCCAACAGACTTGTAATGCTATGGAAACGTGGCAATACATAGATTAATAGAAATGGGTTAATTTATGATGTAAGAACTAGCTAGTAATAAGTCTGAGCCATCAGCCAAACATTTGTAAGTAATATTAAACCTCCGATTAATTATTTGGGAAGTGGCTCCCACATATTTTGGAGTTGCTGGAGGGATAGAACTCCTGCCTACAAATAGTAGTTTTGGAGCTTATATTATTTAGCATGTAAAACCTTTTTCAACATTTTAAGAAATTATTAAATATATTTATTGGGATAATGTGATAATTCAATACATGCATGTAATACATAATGATTAAATTAGGATACTTAATACGGGCATGTCAAATATTTTCATTTCTTTTGTGTAGAGGGCATTTAAAATCCTCTCTACAAATTTTTTTTAAAAACATACAATTAAGTGGTTCAACTATAGTCATACAGATAATTAAACATGCAAAATGAGATACTAAAATGTGTTAGTATCTTAATATTAAATATCTAGCCAATCCTATTCTAATAAACCACGTGCCCTTTAACTATCTATCTCCTCTCCCTCTCACCTCTGGCCAATTCTGTTCTAATTTCAAATCTACAAGATGAATGCTTTTCATTTCCACACAGAATAAAACATTAACTATTTGTTCTTCTGTGCCTCACATATTTAACATAGTATTCTTCTCATAGTTCTCTCAGGCTGTTGGGAAACAGACTTATATTCTATTTATGAAAAAGTAAGTAGCATTTGTGTGTATCTTATAAAATCCATGTATCAGTGTATTCAACAGAAAAGTAACCTCTGCCTATTTCATTTCTGGACTTTTAAAAACAGTGTTGTAGTAAGTTTAGAAATACAGATCAATTTCCCTTGTTTTTACTCTATCTTTCTTCCATAAGCATCCAGCAGTGTAGCTATTAGATAATATGGTAGTTCCTGTTGAATTGTTATAGAAAACTTCATGTTGATTTTCGAGGAGATTACCAAGAGTGTAGGAGAGTTTCTTCTGATTCTCTTTGCTGTCTTTTTGATTGCAGACATTCAACTTGAATGTCATTTCCTTGTGGTCTTAATTGCCACCTCTTGGATGATTAATAATGGCAAACATTTAAATATGCACTGCTGACATTTGCACACTTCCCTTTTTGAGAAATGCTTATTCAAATTAATGCCCTGGTTGAAGTTGGATTATGTGTTCTTTTATGATAAGTTGGCCAAGATCCTTCTACAGTTAAGCAATTAATTCTTCTTTTTATATGAATATTTTAAGTAGGGTCTTCTACTCTATCTGTTGTTTCTACATTCTATTAAAAACATATACAAAAGATTTTAATGAATTTGTTATAATCTCACTTGACAATTTTTGATCTAGGGTCTTAAATAATTGCCCATATAACCATGAAAAAGTCTGAATCTTGATTACTTCCATTACTTTCAAGTGTTACTTTTTGTTTTGGTCCATGTTTTTTAATTGATGTTTTATATGGTGAGGTAGGAATCCAATTTCATGCCTCTACTTGTGGTGGAAATGTAGTCATTCCAGAATTATAGCTGAGGAGCCCCCATGGAACTGGACTGGGCCCTCTGGATAAGTGAGACAGTTGTTTAGCTTGAACTGTTTAGGAGGCTCCCAGGCAGTGGAACCAGGATCTGTCCTTGGTGAATGAGCTGGCCATTTGGAACATGGGTCCTATGCTGAGAGACTTTGCTCAGCCTTGGTTTAGGGAGGAGGGGACTGGACCTGTCTCAACTGAATGTACCAGGCTCTGCTGACTCCCCAGGGGAGACCTTGCCTTGGAGGAGGTGAGAATGGGGGTTGGGTTGGGGAGGAAGACTGGGGGTGAGAGGAGGGAGGGCAGGGGAATCCGTGGTTGATATGTAAAACGAATAGAAAATCTCTTAATAAAAGGAAAAACAAAACAAAACAAAACAAAAACAAACAAAAAAGGAAAAAAAAAACTATTCTTCCAATTTCAACTCCATTTGTGTTTATTTTAAATCCATTGGCGATGAATATGTAGATTCATTTCTTGATTCTATATCCCATTTTTGATCTGCTTGTCCATTTTTATGCAGTACTGTGATGTCTATGTAATTATAGAGAAGTATGATAGGGCTTCCACCATTTCTCTTATTGCTCAGCATTCTTTGTCAATAGAGGATCTTGCAAGGTTTCCCAGTACTTTAGGATTATAGTTCTGTTCTGCTAAAAGTGTCACTGACATTTTGGTGAACTTATAAATCAATATACAGGTTGCTTGGATAGCATGGAAATCTAAATATTATTTATTTTTCAAATTCATAAACATGGAATATTTCCATTTTGTCTGATTCTTTTTCCTTTTCTTTTTATTCTTCTCTCACATAGTACACTCTGACTACAGCCTTCCCTCCCTCTCCCCTCTCAACACTCTCTCCCATCTTCACTCTCTCCCAGATCACTCCTCTTCCATTTCCCTTCAGAAAAGAGAAGGCCTCCCAGGGATATCAAGTGAACACAGTATATAGACTAGACACAAACCCTCATAGCAAGGCTGGACAAGATACCTTGGTAGTAGGAAAAGTCTCTCAAGAGCAGGCAAAAGAATCTAAGACACTCCCACTCCCACTATTAGGACTCCCACAAAAACAGTGACTTAACAGTTCATGAAAGAAATCATTCTCTCCTTGCTAAATTTATTCCCAGGCACTAATTTTTGTGTCTTTGGTAAATGTTGTTTCTTTCTTGGTTTCTCTTCTTCAGTTACTTCATTACTGGTGTGTAGAACCAGGGCTGGTTTGATGTGTTGATTTTTTTTAAACCTAACTTAGTTTGCCAACTCTAAAATCATTTTAAATGTACTTTTAGGATTTTACCTATAATAGATAATGCCATCTGCAAAAGGCTGAGTTTGAACTCCTATTGTTCAGCTTAGAATCTTTTTGTTTCTTTTGCCTAATTTATTTTTTAGGACTTTCACTACTATGTTGAATAACTACAACAAAAGTGGACATATTCATATCATTTTAGAACATAGAGCAATAAACTTTAAAATATTACTCATTTTAATATGTTAAATATATTATTGTAACTGAAATTTTAGACAGTTATGACCCAGTGCTCTTTATAGCAAAGACATCTTTTAGTCAACAGAGAGACAACTTTAGAGTTTCCCTGCAGAGTGCAACTTTTGCTAT